GTCGCCGTTCGGTTTCCACGTTCGTATCCCGTCGCCCGTTGAGCGATAAACGGCGACTTTAGCTTGGACAATGACGTTCAATGTAGCGTGACGGGATGATACGTTGCGGGTGCCCGACCACCCGTTGACAGGCTCCTATGGTCGCCGGTCCATGGGGGCCGCACATCATTACCCACCGTTGTTGACACTACCTTATAAACGTCGTCATTCGGGCTCGGGGATGTGTGACGGACAGTCAACACTGTAATGCCGTGTCACAGTCGGGAGCCGACAGTAGATAGGGGTAGAAGCTCGATTCCTTTCCATTGGCTGCTACCGTCGCCTTTCAGACGATCCTGATCATCCCACGTGCGTGGGCAAATTTATGTATGTAACTGACCAGTGCTCTCGGGAGTCCCCGAATTAGCCCCAAATTCCCTTCAAGATCGTCTCAAGCAAGAACAGTTATCCGTCGACGCGTTCACCATAGAGCCAATTTTGTTTGAAATTTGGGGAATAAAAGTAATAAAAGTAGCAAAGCAATAACTTGACTGACATGAAGACAACTCATCTTTATTTAATTTGTAATTAAATTCACATCTGGAAACGTTTGTTGCGCGGTAATTATCACCGCTGCAAAATTGCACGGTGGAATCGCGAAAGAAAGAATGATTGATAGCGACCCCTGGTAATCGAGAATAATCTAATCAAACTCCGGACGAAATCGACGGAACGGGTTCGTCGGATCGCCCCGGTCACCGCATCGATTTCAATCCAATTTGTCCCGATCATTCGAAGAATTATCGGCTCGTTCCTCGAAACTCTGTCGTCCCCGACGAACCAAAACAGAAGGGGTGAAAACAAGGCGAGAGCGGTTGAAATATCCCCGATCCGTCGGTGGGGGGGCGCGGCGTACCAAACGGAATATAAGCCACGATAAATCCGGCGCGCAGTTAAAAATTGATACAGTAGTTTCGGAAGTGCACGGGGCCGACGGTTAAGTTACGTATGTAGTCAACGGTAAACGGAAGCCCATATCAATAACTATCGCTTGTACACCGGGATTCGTGAGCGGAGAAAGTTACGGCCGCGGCGAGGATAGCGACGGACCGTCGGCGGGAGGCAGAGGGAACGAGAAAGGGGGTAGTGGAGCGGGCCAACGTAGACACGCACACACACACACACGCAGAGAGAAGAGAAGCAGGAAGAACGGGAGATGCGGTCGCGGAGGCGAGGGGTTTGGGTTGGCTTGTACGAGCAGGCGGTCGGTGGGGGTGGTAGCGGCGGTTCCGCGGCCGGGGGTGAAATAATGGGGGCGGACGAGCCCGAGTCGAAACATTGATGTTGCCCGGCGCGCTTACAAACACACCGACACCAATCGAGCATGGCCTTTCCTATAGAAAACCAATCCAGGGGGCTCCGTTAGCTAGGCGGCCGGTCGGTTTCAAAGGGTGGGAAAGGGAAGGAAGACGGGGGGCTTGAGGGTGAGGTCGGTCGGAGGCGGAGGTGGTGTACCGGGAGCGGACTGGAGGACTACGCGGGGCGGCGGAGGGAAAACGAGGATACACGGATATATATACATGTCGTACAGCACTCTATGCCGTCGATGTGGCTCGTGTTTAACGCCCTTATAAATGTGTAATGCGTATGCTTGAGAGGCGGGGGGTGGGACGTACTACCCGCAACTCGCCAGGCTGGTCTCTCCTGGCGTATCGATAAACGATCAATCAATCGGTACACCTATGGACGGGGCCAGCGAGAAGGGTAAAAGAGACGACGGGGGTGGTGGCGGGGCGAAGGTGGATGATTAGACGAGGAGGTGGAAGACGAGGAGGAGCACGGAGGACGGGACGGGTAGGAGGCGAAAGGGATGAGAGAACGGTACGATGTGGTGGGCGAAGATGGGTATGCGAGAGGAAGGATGGAAAGGGTGGAACGGAGTGAGATCGCGCGCGCAATAGAGGCACAGAGACAGAGAAGGAGAGGCGATTCACTGGAAGAGAGCGCGGAGCAGGTTGGGGGAGGGTGGTGGCCCGCAGAGTATCGACCCACCGTGGAGGAGAACGTAGCTAGGGTCGCCGTCGCCGGGTTTTGTTGCTATAGGTGTGCCACGTTTCCGTCTATGAGGAACCTGCGTGAAGACCTTCGGAGATCCAGACGCGATACGGAGGAACGGGGACATCGTTTCATCGGCCGTCAGTTCGTCGAGGGACATGATGAAAGCTACCACGACGGACGATCGAATCGCTCTCCCACCCACGCTATCTTCTTGTCTTAACATGATTCTACCGAACGTTCGTGTTCACAATGCCAACAATTCTGATCATCGACTCTGTATGAAGGTTGGGAGTTCGCAATGATAGAGCGAAGCTTTCTCTTTATTGCACATCCAACCAGTGACCACATCTCGTTTTCTCAAAAGACACCCTCTGGTATCTTGTTTCCCGTCTCTTGTCAAAGTTTCCATTTTCCCCGGGCCTAGCCGGACGACGAACCTGCTCTTCATCCCTACCCTGTGCCGATAGTCACCCCACCTAGCGGGTGGCGTCGTCGTCTTGCCTGTTTTCCCTTCTTCGCGGCAGAGACCGTCTCTCGCGGGCGTCTAGCAGAAGAGGCGACGTATTCGAATTGCCAGGGACACGATCGCCGGTAGCCTTCCGGTGGCGTCGCTCGCGGTCCGTTAAACGCGTTAACGAGCTGGTCCCAGCCACGAGGAACGCACAGAGCCACGCATCCTTCGATTCTACGTCGTTTGTCCTGGCGGTTCTTCGCGGAGGAGCACGACCACCCCTCGCTCGCGTCTCTTTTCATGCACCCTCGGTTAGCTCGTCGCGTCTCGTGCAACGATCCGTGGCCCTTTGGGCCGCGCGCACACCGCTCAAGTGGCCATGCATGGAACAATGCATCTACCGAGCGTGCTACGTGCCAACGTATCTGGCCATTGTGGGGTCAGGTGGGTCGTCGGTCGGCAGAGAGCCCGTTGGCTGGCTCCGCGGGGTGTGGCCACATAACCATAGCCGCAACGATCTCTCTCCGCGTCGTCTCCTTTCCTCTTTCCAACGTTCCCGTTCTGTCCTCCGCGGCCCTTGTCGCGTTCGGTAGCGCGCGTTCTAACCAGCTCGATATCCCTTTCCGTTCGCCGATAACCTCCTAGCTCCGTCTCCCTTTCGCGGATTCAGCCTCGCCTCGCTGATAACAATAGGTGCTGCCCTCTCTGTTGCACCGTCACGCGTTATCGCGCTCCCACCCACTGGGGTTCTCCCTCTGTCCCTCTTTCGGCCCCGCGGATTTCGCCGTCGCATCGCCTCGAGGTAGGGATACGCGGTGCGCGTACGGCACCGAGCTACCAAGCAGGCGCATCGCCGACCTATTACAATGGCCAGCCCACCTAAGCGTTTCATTGTCATCCACCGTCGGCTCTCTGCCCATGCGTCGATGCGCACAGACCATTGTTTTGCCGGAATGGGCGGCCCTCTCCGCATCGCGACGCCATCGGCGCCTCCGTACCTCTTGCGCCGCTCGAGGACCACTTCGATTCCAGCGAGGAACGTAGAAGTTTGCTAGCCAATACCTAACGCAACGAGTTCGTATCCTAAATGAGGCTGTTGAAGCTCCTGAAATTTTCAGTACTCAAAGATACTCCATATTAGAGTCCAAAGTCGTTGCTCTCCCGATCACCTTGCTTTCGCTACTCTTGCGTTTAAATCTGTATTTATCTTCTTTCGCCTCATTACGGCGAACAAACCGGTGAAACGAATAAAAATAAAGTAAATTCATAATTCAGGGGAATAAAAAGGGATGACAGGTCTGCCGATTCGGTCGCCCGGACGTTTCGCTCGCGATTTAATGCGAGCGAGTCGCGGATAAATACATCATCGTTCGATGGCCACGATACGGCGAGTCCCGCGGCCCCGATAATGAATTCCCAATTAAAGATTCCATCCGGGCTGCGTGTGTCGATGATTTACGTCCAGGCTGTGGACGAAGGTCCCCTTTCCGGGCGACGTGATTCCCGGAGGACAGGCGAACGCACGAAATCTCGTTACGGTGGAAACAAAATGACGATTCCGCGGTGAAAACCGTATTCATTAATAACGGGCTGCGTATCGTTGGATCGCACGACGGTGATATCGGCGCGGAACCGGTCGGAACGGTCGGGGACACGCGAATCTAGCAGATAAGCCCGCCGTTGGCAGGTTAAATCAGATCCGTTCCTTCGTAAGCGTGCATTTCGAATGCAATGTACGGAGACAACGCGAATAATCACCTTCGTGTCACGTATCCGTGATGAAATAAAAGGTCGCTTATTTGTGAAATCATTGCCTCCTAATTATTTCCTTTTCGATTCTCGGTTTGTTCCAATCTGTTTCAATATGGTTGTCGGGTAGACGCCTTAATGTCCATTTATAATTCGACGAGTTTGCTTGTCCGAGCGCAAATTCTGCGAACGATGACTAAATCGGCACTCCCGACGCGCAATTTTATTTCCACGCGTGTTTCGCGATGGTCGTAACGGGTCGTGCTCGCGCTGAAAATTGCAGTCCTGTCTGTACAGAACATGGCGATCCTCTCGATCAGCGGCGAGATCCTAGTCTACTGTTACCGCGCGCAAAAATGATCGCAATTGCGCCAATAAATCTTCCGCGCTAATGCCAGCCCGGGAGAAACAGTTATCAGATCTTCGAGATGTAATGGAGCTTTAACAATTTTCCCTGCTATTATCTTCTGCGTTCATTAACGATTCGTTGAACTTGATGGTCTAACGGAGATTCTTCGTATCCTGGCATTATGGTAACAATATATTCGAATGTAACTTGATAATAGTAACTCTATAAATCGCAAGAAAATTGTTATTCGACAAGTTTATTCGTCAAATGAAACAAAGTAACATACATAGAGGGACGACATCGATTAGAAATAAAGAACGTGAGATATCAGTTAGAAACAATCTGCAACAGTTACAATTACATCGAAAAGAGGAACTTATTGATAGCTACTACGTCCTTAAGGGATCACTGGATTTATTGTGCATTGAGAATCATCGTTTTCTCGTGCCTCTCGATGGCGATCTGCTTGATTCTCTCCCACAACATGGGATAGGGGTGTATGGTCCTAGCAAAGTCCGCTCTATTCAAACGGTACAGCTCGCAGACCTCGACAGCGACCACGCTGGCCACCCGCATTTCATCGGGCATGACCAACGCGACCTCGCCAAAGTGGGCGCCGTCCTCCAGGTGGCAGACTTCCTTACCCGAAGTCGTGTAAATGGCCACGGTGCCGGTGGCGATGAAGTACATGCAGTCGCCCAGCTGGTTCGCGCGAACGATCACGTCGTTGGTGAGGAACACTTCCGACCTCAGCAGCCCTACGATCCGTCCGAGCAACGTCAGCGGCAGATTATTGAAGAAGGTAACGTTCTCGACGAGCTTGCGGCACGAGTGCATGCTGATCTCGTGCCGCATCTGCGGCGACAACGTGTGAATGATGTCTGGCTCCCGAAAGAATCGTCGCTGAAAGCGAAATTCATAGTACTCCGTGATCCTCATCTGGGTCGGATGAGGCAGCTGCATGTGCCTCATGTACTGTTTCAGTTGAGCCACGGTGGCCTGGTACCTAAGCTGCGAGCTGTTTGTACCCTTGAAGAACTGCATCACGTGGGCCACCAGGATCCACGGGGTCAGGATGCCGAACAGTTGGAACACGATGATCACGGACAGGTCACCCGCGCACATGGGATTCGTGCGTAGAATACCGGACCTCAGGAACGTGGCGATCGCGCGCAACATGGAGGACATGTACTGGTAGCTCCTATGGGACTCCCAGAGTTTCGAGGCGTGTATCCAGGAATCGTTGCTCGGACCCTTGACCACTGACATCGAGGTTGTCATTATGGGCACCAGCCAGAAGAAGCAGGCCTGCCAGTGCAGCGACAGCAGTAGCAAGAACATTATCATGCAAAATTCGTAGACGGCCAACGGGGTGTCATAGGCAAACGCTATTTTGCTTATGTACAGTCTCAGAGAGAACACTCGACAGATGCACAGCATGGATATCATCTTGCGTGTTACCTTGTACTCGACCCACGTGGTCAGAAAGAACAGATCGGTCGGAAAGGAGCCCAGTAAATCGGGGAAGAACGTGCTGGATTTTACGTAACGGCGAATTATTTTTCTTGGCTCCAATATCACAGCGTGCGCTTCCTTGTCCAGGTACCTGACGTTCAAACGAAACCATCAGCAATCTCTTACATCGACATTCGAGGATTCTATATCGAATCTTTTACTTGCCCTGTCCTGAAGTTGACCACCATGTCCAAGCAACACAGCAGCAGCAAGAAATTTTTCATGATGCTCCAAGCCAAGGATCGCCTGACCAATTCAAACGCGGATTGATACGGGACTAGTATCAACACGACGGTCATCGCAAAAATCATCAGGCAATTCCAGTAGTGTCTGAAACGATACAAGTTGTTACGTAGAATTGCCAAGACGATTTATCATCGTGTCAACCCTGTGAACTTTACAGGTATGGGTGTTCTTAGCTACGCATACCTAAACACGCTGAACGGGTGAATGATATATGTGTAGTTCTGCATTTGGCGACGCTTCTCGTACACAATGGAGGCGCTGCTTCGTAGATATTTATGTGCAGCTGGATTTTTGCACGAGGCCATCAACGACTGACGAAATAGGTCGCGCAGTTTTTGTAGGAGTCCTCGCCCAGGAGGGAACAGAACGTCCCCCTCCTTTGGAAGCTCGCATTCGTGCTCTACGTGCAGCATGATCGAAAATTTTATCCGATCATTTGGCAGATTATCGTACACGATCGAATAAAGTTAGGTGTTATTAGTATAGATTAAACTGCAAGTTCAGTTAGATAATTTACAAATTGTATCGAAAATAGACAACTTATGAATAACATTTGTATGTTGTACGATATCGAAGAGTCATCTGCAAGAAGATATTGAGAAACGACGTCCTGACTCTGATACATATGGGTAAAACAAATTTATTATTGTTTTACAGCTATCTTTGATGTTTACTGCTGATAAAAACGAAATGTATCATTGGTTGATCAGTATGTTTTTGCAAATGGGATGTACCATATGTTGGTTACGCAAGCAAGTGAAATGAAACTTCTTTACCATACGAGGATACCGACAGACGGAAGGACAGACATTATTAGTGTTGCCGTCGATGCACTCAATTATGCTAGATCTAACTACACTGATAAGGGATGTTTTCACACTCAAAATAGGAATTCTATTCCATAATAAAAATAGCTCAAAACTTCTCTTATGGTTCCCAACAAACCTGCTCGGTTAAAAAAGAAACCGGAACTTTTGTAGTTGTAGAAGTCGATGTCTTTAGAAACTTTCAAATGCTTATAGAAGTATTTTACTAAGGCGAAGTTGAAATTTAAAATTCAAAAGACGAATTATCTTGACAATTGAACTGCGGCCACAGGGCCCATTTCGACCCAAATCTAAATTTCGTTATTTCGCATTTCAGTATAAGTGGTAAATTTAATTTATTATGTTTTACAAGCAAGTATAGATTTTTATAAACTCTATTATCACTTTTATGTATAAAATTGGTAAATGAGATAACTCAGGTAAGTACATATACACTATTATAAGGAATTATTAACAGATCACAATTGTGGTAGAAAAGCACATAAAAAAATTGTTTTTTACAAGGTACTTATAGTAGCAGTATTTAACAATCAAGGTATATCTATAATATATGTAAAATAAATTACATATCTGTATCGATTATACAAAAATTATAAATATATAAATTACTTTGTGTGTGTGTATAAATTAAAAAATGTATTCAAATTGGTATAGTTTTGTTAATTTGTTATTTTATATTATCGATTAAGACAAAACTTATAAGATATATACCTAACAAGTGGAGAAGGAAGCTTTTATACTTTAAACATAAGTACAATTTCATTAATGTAAAGTTAATACTTATTAACTTATACCAATTTAAATTATGTTCGAGAATCAATAGTTATTATAAAATGATCAGCACCTAGACTAAAAATGTAAAGTTCGGAAGTCTAGAAAAAATATATCAAATTTTTAATGTTTCCCTAATTCAAATTATGTACCTTAATATCATGATACTCATATGACTATCACAATCTACGATTGTTTCCTTTCCACGTTATATATTCTTTCTAATAAAGCTAATGATATACTTCCAGGTATTCTTTGATGTTGCCTTATTAAATTATTAAGTGCATCAGCAACCTAAAAATAATAACAATGAGTCTAAACTAACTCAGTTTTTGCTTGTTACTATTGCCATTAATTATAGTTCTATTTTATTACTTTTAATTGTAATTCTTCGGGTGTAAGACTGCTATCGTATGGAATTGGTTTACCAACATATGTAGTTAATTTTACTGGAAAACCACCATAAATAGGTACAAAAGGAAATCTTGTTGCAGCATATATTCTCAACCACATTCTTCTACCCCAACTTATTGTTCTAAATGCTTCTCTAACATTTTTTGTAAACAAAGGTATTATGCACTGTTACAAAAATATTAATGTTTCAAAATTGTTCTAAATATAAGAATGAAACATGACAATAGAATAACATACCACTTTGGCATCCAATGCAACTTTGGCAAAACCTACTCTTTTCTTCCACATCAGTTGATAGTAAGAGTCTCCAAATTGAGCTTCGTATACACCACCGGGCGAAATAGCGAGCATATTTCCTTCTTTCAAAATAGTAGAACATATTTGAACAGTACCAGGTATGACTTTCAATACGTGAGAAATTATGGACCAGCCAGGGCATTTAAATAGAAATCTATCAGCTACTGTATGAATTAATTTTGAATTGAGAAGTAATACTTTGGATATAAAATAATAAAGATCTATTGGAATGGCTCCATGATAATATACAAAAAGCACCGGTTCATTTTCTGGTATATTTTCTAATCCGACTACTTCATAGCCTGTCAAAAGTATGAAATAATATTAGAAAATTTAAGCATTTAGTTACAATACACATCAATATTTTAAATGTTATACATGTAAAAACTAATTCATAGTGAATTTAGATACCTTATTTAATATATAATACTTGAAAACAAAAAATTATCTATTTCATAACATACCATACCAAATCCAACCATGAGCATCCCAAACTGCAGCTACCACATTACGAGCTGCATTCCTCCAATCAGTTCCATACGCGTTTCTTAATCTAGTTCTATCGAAATAAATTATTATATATTATTGATTACATAATTTATAGTTTGTATGCATTTTTTGCTAATAAATACACACCTGTGTAGTTTGTATACGTATAATATCAACATAGTCAAATATAATAATACTACGATCACAAGTGGTAATAAAAATGTTATTAAAAGCGGCATTAGAAGCCACGATAACCACAATGTAAAATCCACGTCAATATATTCGGCTGAAAAACATTATTGTACAAAATTAATTTATCGGTAAACAGATTTTATGCGATACAATATGAAAATCAAAGATAACAAAAAGATCTGTGCGAAATTTATTCGACTTACTGAAGTATATTTGTTCACCGATATAACAACTAATTTTTAATATCTAAACATGTTCATAACGCTATCAATTTTACTTTTCAAATTGCTGATGCTTAGCATTGTATTTTTCACATTGTATATTAGATAATAGTATACCAATAATAAATATAAAATAAATGCTTTTTACCTATAGTGTCTTCTAAAATTTCCCGCAGATTGAATATTATGGAAAACATGTTTAGATCGCAAGGAAAAATAAGGAGATACAAGAATAAATGTATTATTACGATTACAAAAAAGCTGATATTTCATAAGACACCCACATATTCCCTAGCCTCAATACAGATAATAAATTTTACTTTGTGCTTTTTGAACACCATTCATTTAGATTCCGGAATAATTTCATACAACTTTTGAACTATATTCATAAATATTCAAATATAGGAAGTTTATACTCTGTCATATCCTATACTATTTCATTCACAGCTTGTTATATTTTGCATAGCTCCCGCATTATCGTGCCATTTCAATCATTCGTTCATCGATTTCGTCTTAATTCGTACATTTAATACATGACATTTTGTAAGCATTACACTTGTACATGTTTCCGTTAAAAGTTAAATACAAACAAATACTACAAATTTAATGAAACGGCAGATAATAATTGATATATATATATATGTATATGTACATAACATAGTCTGTCACAGTCAGCAAATTGTTAGTAGCTAACTTCGTGTATATCTGTTTTAATTTGCAAGTCAAGAAGAGTAATAATTAGCCTTATAAAATTCCAATAGGTTTAATTCACTGATCTCTATATAAATACATATGTATAGAAATCGATGGTTAATCCTTTTACTCGCGTTTGCTTTGTTATGCTTGCAATCTCACAATTTCAATATAAACGATTTAAAAAGATTAATATTTCTTCTATCTTAAAATATGCCATTTTTATTACTTTAAACACGTGCAACACCGTGTATTGAAATAATTTTTTAATGTATCAAGAAAAAGGTACATAATCAACGAGATAATACGTCGTTATTAGTAAATAATGTATTAATAACGTTGTAGATTACTGTCGTCAGCTGATTTTAAATTTGTGTCGGTAATATTCATGGGACTCGTTTAAATATATTTAAGAAATATTTGTATTGCATAATTATGTTTAGCAGCGTGTGTTGGGTAGTTAACACGAAGTAATTGAAACAATACGTTGTGTATTATTATATTTTTAAATTAACAAACTTAAATTAATGTCGATTTAGAAGATGGCGCTGAAACAACGAGATAGCGAAACTCGATATAAATCGTGAAGGAACTTACGAAAAAAATAGATCAGTTGTAATTATCAACTGTCGAAAGCGTGAGGTAAATTAAATAATTCTAACGTATATTTGCTTCAATTTGTTATACGGGTAAAAATCACGATACTTTAATCTATTCAAGAAAATCAGAAGGATTGGAAGGACCATTGAGAAAGGCGTTCAATATCGGCGTGAAGTTTGGCGGTACATTTCATTGGCGAATTTTCATTTTAACATATTGTCACTGTGAGCAGAGCAATCTCGTATAACTTTTAATCGTTACCAATGTCAGTGAAAAAAGAAATAAATCTATTTGCAAGGTGAAATTTGGCAAATACGATTTTTATCTTAAAATTTCAAAATATTGGTATTTAGCACATTGTATTTTAAAAGGATGTCAGTGGTTTTCTCGTGTTATCGTATATATTGAATAGTGTTTCCGAATTGCTTATAAATTACTTCAGGTACAAATAATTATTTTCGATTCCAGTATTTGCATCATCGGTACCGTATGATATTGTACTATTTGTGTGTCGCTACTGTACAATCTATATTCGATCGGAACATTTTTTCGGCAATAAACGAATCCTGCTGCAATACGTTATTGTACAATTTATACTGACACACGTTAACCAGTCGACGATCAACTTCGTAATGATGTGTTGCTAGTTTAAAAAATGGTTTTACGATGCGTTAACATAGTGTCTTAACGAGACAAGATCAATGTTCGACGTAATGAAGTAACTGTTTGGGCATATTTTTCGAATCTATCTGTAAAATTGAATTTCACCATTTTGCAGTAGAAGTAACAATGCATATCGTGGTAAATAAAGAAATATATAGAGGTGTCTATAAAGCATATTCTGGCATTCGATAAAAATTCACACATATGTATACAATATATCTGATATAGTCACGACTAGTTGTTTGACATATATGTACTCTATGTATATTCTGTCTTGTATTTTAATGTGTTTGAATCGAAGAATAAATCAACAAACTATGTTTCTCTATGAATATGTCCGCAAGAGGACTATTATCATAATGTGTGTTTAATAACATTTATTTCAACAGGTGTAAAATGGTAACACAGTAAAGAAAGTCTTATAGACAGAATGTCAGACAACGATGATTTATTACACATGTTTTCGTTACATAGACTAAATCCCCGTGGGAGAATAATAAGTATAGAATATCCTGGTACTATAGAGTCTAATGCTAATCGTCTTCCAAATTTCGATGTCACCATAATAGGATGTCCTTCGCATCCAAGACCAGAAAGACAAATTAATGAATTGAATAATGGTAAAGTTTATTATTAATGCTTGTGTATGTATATTAAAAGAATTCTATTAACAATATTTAAGAGTTTACATTACTAGCGTATATTAACCAAGATTCAAAATCATGTAATATATAAGAAGTAGTTAGGCACATTTTAAATAAGCACATAAAGGATCAATAGATATGTAAAATATTACATATCTGTATGAAAAGTTCTGTATATAGTATTGTTTGCATATTTATATTTGATGAATGTATTGATTCGTATTTATTTTTACAGCAATATTCGATGCTCAAGCTGCAGTGGCTGCACTTAACGAGGCGTCTGCGTTTGAACCAATGGATAATATACAACCGAACGATGTAACGGATGGAACGTCTTCTACAAATCAGCTAGAAGTTGGTGCACAGGCAGTAAACTCAGATGATGAGTATGTGTAGTATTTCTTAATAATACATTTAAATATGCATACATTAAGCAAAAGTGTTATTCGATACAGCAAAAGATATTGCTGGGTATGTTTTGCATCCGATGAAGATGATGCAACTGCATCATGGGTGAAACCATGTCACTGTTGTGGTACAACTAAATGGGTTCATCAAGGATGTATACAGAGATGGGTTGATGAAAAACAAAAGGGGCGTGCAGGTGCACATGTTGTATGTCCACAGTGTAGCACAGAGTATATCATTGTATATCCAAATATGGGTTAGTAATTAATAAATTTACAAACTTGAACTTTTATCAATATTAGTGATTTATATAATATGTATATTATACGCATTACAATATACAATTAATTATTTCAGGACCGTTAGTAGTAGTGTTGGATACTATTGATGAAGTAATTTTACGAATCTGTCCATGTATAGCAGCTAGCATATTTGCTGCATCTATATACTGGGCAGCTGTGACGTATGGAGCAGTAACTGTAATGCAAGTAATTGGTCATAAAGATGGTTTAGCTATGCTGGAACAAGCTGATCCTTCAGTGTTATTAGTTGGTTTACCAACTATTCCAATAATATTGGTTTTGGGTAAAATGATCAGATGGGAAGATCTAGCACTTAGCCTTTTCAGACGTCACGCACGTAAGGTTCCTATTTTGAGGCATTTTTTGCCAAGTAGGTATGTGTAAACAAATTTCAAAATCTTAAACAAACTGGTCAGTTACTTTAAATTAATAACTATCTATTATTTAAGTTATTTTAACGACGACAGAGCGCAATCTGAAGAGGTACCACCTATGAGCGATTCAGTATCAGCGACACGTATTCTTTGTGGTGCGCTTTTGTTACCTAGTATCGCCAGTATATGTGGCAAATTATTCTTTGAAAGTATACACTCCAATTTTCAGAGAACGTTACTTGTATGTACTAAATATGTCTACTGTTAACAAAATAATTATTTTTGATAATTATTAACAATCTTGTATGCAACTTTGCAGGGTGGTATAGCATTTATAACGATAAAAGGTGCATTCAAGATTTATTATAAACAGCAGCAATATGTACGACAATGCCAACGTCGCATAATGGATTGTACAGATGACAATGTTGCACTATACAAAAGACGACAAAACTCCGAAATTCAGACAACTTAAATAATGACGGATCAAAAATCCTTAAAGAATGCGTTAACAAGGAACTAAACTTCTAAGTGTACTTAGTGCACTAATGTCCAATATATTACTTTTATCTAATGATGTAAGTTTATGGGTACTATAATCGGGTATAATAAATACGTAATGTATATGTACATACAGGTATGTAAGAATGGAAAATTGTCATTACATGCATAAACTTGGTTAGTAAATTATAATATGTGTCCGGCGAAAAATGTTACATTCTTTAAATGTATTAGTAGAACAACGATAATGTCTGTTTCATCGTTTGTGTAGTAAATAAGAAATAAGAATCGAGCTATAATGATGATACTTTTTAGTCGAGTTCAAAGTTTTCTCTTGCTCCAAATTTAACTCTTTTGCAGCGGCATTCTCGTAATTAGCTGTAATAGCGTTTATAATGCACGGTAGAAAATAGATCATTATCTACTTATACTTGCGATGTGAGCAATGTTTGAAAAAATTTACAAAAGTCAGTAACAAACTTAAAATAATAAATACTTTATTTAATAGAAAAAATGGAAAAATGAACGTAGTGGATTTAGAGTTATTTTAGAATTGTGTTTTATCGTGTTTGCAAATAATAATAGCTCGCGTATTAAAATTCAAACGAAAATTAATGTTCTTCGCGACAAAAGAGTTATAGATAATGAGCATGACGAAATTTTGTTTCTTCTAACAACAATAATAATAATTACCATCAAATTTGCTATATATTGAAAAAGAGACAAAGCTTTCTTTTTGAAAGTTATTTACGATTTTACTGCTATGTAAAGGAAAGAATACAGAACTTTATTTCTATTATAGATAAGTTTTGGATCGGATATTAAATCGTATATTAAAAGTTTAGTAAGGAAACTTTATTTTATGTAAATGGTTTATTTACTGTAGACATAAAGAACTAGTAAACATTGATTTGAATCAATAAACCGTGTTTGTTTTCTTTACCTGGGCAAGTAAATCTTGTAACTATATGTATGATAATGAACATTGATCAACTTAAATATTTATCATCTACGCGATGACCATTTTTTAGTAAAATTATAATTAGTTAGAAAAAAATTAAATACAAAATCTCAGGTACTAAAGGAATTTTTCTAAACAGAATTGTATAATATATAAATATATTTATTATTAAGTATTTTGTTCTGTAATGTAAATTATGAATTAATTAAGTACAACACGTGTTTAAAAGGTATTTTACCTAATTGTCTTGAATAATTGTGAATATATTTTTTTGGTCTGTACCATGTAGACAATTAAACTTAAACAACTGTAATTTATACACCATATACATAACACATAATTTACAATTGAGACAATATCTCTACATTTTAAATATTATGTGATATAAGCATCATATCTTTTATACAAATAGAAGTTTCGCTTTTATTCTAAAATTATCATATGTTTTTTATCACACTTTACACATAAACTGTACTATAATACATTCTTTGTTTATGTTCTAGCTTTGTATACCAAGAAAATAGTAAATTTAATATAATTATTTCACATTTGTTATCATTTCTGTATAGATAACTTTTTTACAATTTCACAAAAGTGCAAAATAAATGCATGTTTCTATGTAGAAGATGAATCATTTTTAAGTGTTATAGAAATTAAACAATATTAAATAAAAGTGAAAGCAATATTACAAAATATAAAATAATTTCTATTATATAAGACTTACTTAAATAATGTATCTGTACTTTTAATCTATAAAGAAGGTACTTATTAGAAATGTGTAATAATATACATTCGATTAGAACTTAAATATTTTTCGGACTTCCGTAATATAATTTAAATTATGCTTTGAACTGTAAATTAATGCTATAAAATGCCAAACTTTTTAACAGATTAAACATAAAATATGTTTTGATATTTCGCATCACATTAAAGGTGGTCCTGTGTATTTAAGACTTTTAGAATAGAAATCTGGTGGACCTTCAATAACTAATAACTTGACTTCTTCGATTATGTCTGCTGAATCTGTACATAGCTTAGAACTAATAGTTTTGAAAAATGTGCATGGTCTTGGCCCATTTCCACAATCACCTACATCATACGGTGGGCTAAGTATGTCTAAGAATGCAGCCGGGCCCTCGATACATGAAATTTCATGTAAATTTTTATCCCGCGGCATAAGAACACAAGCAGGTGAATTACTGTGTAAAGTTATCGGTCGGTGTCTAAGTGCTGTTATTTTTTTATTCAATTTGATTCTGTGATCATCGTTTGTCTTCAAAGTGTAGCTGTTCACTTGAACCTCCCCACTGATCACCTACATATTAAAATGTTTTTTATTTATAAAAAGTTTGAAAATAACTTGGTCCAAATAATATATCTTGTATTCGATATAATATATCATTTTAAAAAGAAAGATATTTATTTTACATACTTTTAAAAAGCCATGCATTCCAGGATGATTATGCATTGGCATTGTAACTCCATGTTTGAGTATAAAAATTGAAATAGTCAGATCCTTATTTTCAAATATGTCAATAACACACATTGGTGCAGGTTGCATCTGTATGGAGTCAAGGACTTGCTTGTTTAAATTCACATCCTCGGCTGTGATTTTATTCATCAAATTCCATAATTTGTCAAAGTTCTTTAAGCAAAGCTTGAATCCGACGTTTTTTCGTCCGTCAAATGTTTTTAATGCTTGCCTCCATACGATCTCAATTGCCGACGTCATATTTACTAACTTTATAACACTATTTCCGTGAATTTACCTTTTGAAAACCATATTGTTGCATCAATAATATGCTAAAAATCGAAACGCAAGTAACAAGTAAAATAGAATCCGTGGAACTACGTGAAAAAGATTTCTGCCCCGTCATAACCTTAATTGTTATAATATAGAATGCTTGATCGAGTAAGAAAATAATTACGAATGTCAATGATTTAAATTAGGTAAACAATTTTAATAAATACCATTAAATTATTGTGTATAATACTTATTCACGTTTCATATTTTTCTCCAAAACATCATTGGGCAAATAATATTAAAGCTACTGAAATTCACATACTTAGAGGTTAAATTAAGTAATAAATTTCTTTGTCATTGTACATTACAATTTGCTAACTATTACTGCAACTTTTAATTTAAAGTAAATGCTATTAACATATACACATTTCCAATTTTCTAATTAGTTTTGATCCGTAATGATATATGTATACCTCATCCAAAGAGTAAATTCAATAAGAGGTGCCACTCCGAGCGGCACCTTTGAAATATTTACTTGACCTTGTCCCTTTAAATTAGTTGAAGAGTCAGCGGTTTATTTGAATCGACTGCGATCAACTGAATCTAATACCTTTCCCTAACCTCTATTTATAATAATTTTAAAAACTTATTTAAACCATAAAGTGTCTGTATATTACTAATATTGTACCTACACTTCGCTTCGCGTTTGTTACTAAACTATACCAAACATGGTTATGCGATTCAATTCGTACAGGTGATATTATAAACATACAGTTTAGAAACCTGTACCTATTGAAAGCTAGTTCATTACTTTTCACTTTCTAAACGAGTATTAATGTTATTTCTACTGGACGGAACAAGAAAAACTAATGTCAATGCAAGGTAGTTGTTTAAAAAAAAGAAATACATATCACGCAATGAATGTTATGAATTTTTACCGAACATGAAGTATTTTCATTTTGTTACAATATATTATGAATTGAAATTAATCGAAGTACATATTACTTGTTACATAGTTCTGTGAACTTGGATTAAAGTTTCAGGGAACAGAACGCCGCGGGCCGGGGGCGGACCTGCCCCCTACCCAGAGATGCCAGAACAGAACACCGGGTGCACCGGGGATATCTCATTCCACTTTCTCACACTATGCCAGATCACGCGTACGTGAGCTCGTGAAGTTTCGGAGAGTCGACAAAGGCAAACTGACACATGCACCCTTTCTCGATTCTCAGAAGCTGCTCGAAGTAATTTCGGACCTTCCCTGACCGCTGCTGACCATTCCTCATACTTCTGACAACGTATGACGATTACAACTTGCTATTAGTTGCCCCTGCTGGTCTCTGCTTGCCTCTGCAAGCCTCTGCTGTCCCCTGCTGACCACTGCTGATCACTGCTGTCCACTGCTGACCACTGCTGACCCTTGTTAACAACTTCTGCCATGATATATATGTATTAAAACATTGTATAATGTAAATCTATGACAATAAATGATATAATTACAAAGAATTCCATGTGTTCTCATCATTTTTTACCTTTCTTTTCCTCTCCAAATCATTACCTTAGTTATAAGACTCCCTGAAACTCCTTGGTTGTCCTGAAACTCAGAACTTTGCTAAAAATTCATGATTTCCAAGAATTTTCGGCGTTTCCAAGAAATTCCAGGACTTCCCAGTTGTTTCAGGGCTTTCCAGCTGTTTCAGGACTTTCCAGCTGTTTCAGGGCTTTCGAGCGGTTTCAGGGTTTTCGAGCTGTTTCAGGACTTTCCAGCTGTTTCAGGTCTTTCGAGCTGTTTCAGGACTTTTGAGCTGTTTCAGGCTTTTCCAGTTATTTCAGGACTTTCCAATTGTTTCAGGACTTTTTAATTTTTGATTTTGGCAGCAAGTACGAGGAGCTGGACACTTTGGGAATTCAATTTTAACCGGAAAAACGGTCTCTTAAAACTAAGGCAATGATTTGGAGAGGAAAAGAAAGGTAAAAATGATGAGAACACATAGAATTCTGTTAAATTATATCATTTATTGCCATAGATTTATATTATACAAGGCTTGAATACTTATACATCATGTCAGCAGTGGTCAGCAGGGGTCAGCAGGGGACAGCAAGGGTAAGCAGAGACCAGCAGGGGCAAGCAGTAACAAGTAGTGATCGTTATACGTTGTCGGAAGCATCAGTGGTGGTCAGCAGTGGTCAGCGGAGGCCAGTGGAGGCCAGCAGTAGCAAGCAGTGGCAAGCAGAGACCAACAGGGGCAACTAATAGCAAGTTGTAATCGTCATACGTTGTCAGAAGTATGAGGAATGGTCAGCAGCGGTCAGGAAAGGCCGGCGGAGGCAGGCAGAATTCAGTAGTAATCCTCATACGTCGTCAGAAATATATGAGGAGAGGCCAACAAAGGCTGGGCAGTCGAGACTTGGAATCGTATGCCGTCGACGTGAGGTCGAATTTTAGTTGTTCAAGTGCGAGAAGGCAAATGAGCCTTCCTCTCTCGACTCCCACGAGACGGTCCGAAATTACTTCGGGCAGCTTCGGAGAATCGAGAAAGAGGGCATGCGTCAGTTTGCCTTTGTCGACTCTCCGAAACTTCACGAGCTCGCGTACGCGTGCTCTGGCATGTGTGAGTAGGGCACCCGGTGCTCAATCTGGCATCACTGTCCTTATCGCAAATGTGTTGGTAATTTAGAACTGAGATGAGCTTTATTTATTTACTATCCGAAACAAACTTTTCTGGAATATAATTATTAGTGAAAAACGTATGAAAAGCAGGTTTTTTTTTACTGTAGTATTGATTCTGCTGCAAAAGTAAAAAAAGGTAAAAACTTTATAATGTATTTGTTTCAATATAAATTTGTTTGGATATTTGTAAACGAATTTACTAATATTTTTATAATATGGAGAACTTGATTTTATCCGATTACTGTTCCGTTATTAATTTTTTGTACATGTTTGTTATAATGGAGCCTCAATTTAACAACTATAAAATTTGCTATTGTATCTAATGGGGTTCCCAGAGTAGATAGAAATAATTGTGATTTATCAAGTTAGTGTCATGTTCTTATCATTATGAAAGTACTTTTAATATTGAAGTAGTTTAATAATATAAGAATAGATGTAATAATATAATAACATATAATGTTAACTTAACCCTTAGACGACCAAGTATATAATCATAAGCCTGAAATTTAATTTCAGTCGATTCATCATATACTTAGAAACATGTAACTACAGTATAGGATTACAGAGGTTAGAAAATTGTCTAAAACAACAAGGATTAATTTAAGTAAGACAATGAGTTATGATTTAAATAATGTGGCTGGGGTTTCTAATGAATTTCACAGAGTTGTCTAAGAGTTAAGATAACATACAAAATCAAATGTTACTTGAATGTATATTGTTATATATGTATTGTTAAAGATGATATTGCTATGTATTAATTTAGAGCAAACACAATTCCTAACAGCTATGTCCAATGAGGAGCGTTTGAGGAAGCTTCTATCGGATTTGGGAAAAGCTACATTACGTGGGGTTCGCAAATGTCCAAAATGTGGGACTTATAATGGATCACGTGGTTTGTGTTGTAAGAACAAGTATTGCGATGCAGTGTTTAAGGAACCTGGTGAGAAAAGAAAATTGTCAACAGAAGCTTGTAAGCTTATTACTGGCACAACTGCTCAAGTTTTTTCTGTTCGAGTGCGAGACAAAGGCCCAGACTATCGTGGATTTGTTCAATTGCCATTGATAAATGCAACAATTTCTAATGAAATGACAACACTTATTTCACAATCAACGGCATTGTGCTTTGTTGATAGTTGTGAAAGAAGTTTCGATACTAGTGTTCTTAAATGTCATGTGAGTTTCATAAATAGCATATATTTAACTAAATAATGAGTAATATATATGCAAAGTTAATTCATTGTTACAAAATTTTTACCGGTTTTTGTGGTAGGAAAAAAATTCATCCGATGTGCCTGTTTCTACATGCCAACATATACATGCAGCTTTAAGATGTTATGCAGAAGCACAACCATTGACGTTAAGGAATTCTGTTTTATCAACCTTGAGTGTAAATAATGAAATGAAACAAGAAATTTGGTTACTAGCTACAGAAACTTCAGGCCCCTTGGTACAACGAGTGTCTAAGAATATAATGGCAGTGAAGTGTAAAGCTTCGCCAAAACATCCATTAGGTTATCTTCATTTTTCTCTCTTTGTTACAAAATTGAAAGATAGAATCGAACATCGTTATTTCTGTTCTTGTTCTGCATTCAAGGCAAGTATAGGAAACAATAAAAATTCTATTATATTTTAAAATAATTGGTACGGTCGAGGATCATAAAAAACATTGAAACTTAATGTAGGGTGTGACAAAAACAGCAGGAGACAAAGCAGATTTAGCGCAATCTTTGCAAAATAAACGTTGTGTACATTTTTATGCATGTATTTGCGCATTTGCTAGTGATGCAAAGTTATCCGAGGAATTTAGTTATTATATAAACTTGGATCAAACTGATTTCAGTATACCAAAACCATTGTCAACAATGGTGCAGAATAATGAACAAGATAAAATAGTTGGTATTGGTAAGAGGATTGGATTTAATAAATTTTAAATTTAACATAATATTGTTTTTACACCAAAGGAAAAATTGCAGATCTTGATGGTTTAACTACAGATGATACAGATACGCATCTTTTAATATTTCGTGATGATACTCTAACAGTGCAGAGTTTAGATGGAAATAGATTGGACTTAGATTCAATGAATTTGGATTCTACGATCTTACCAAATAGTATTGTTGAAAATATTGAAGTAGAGTGTGATCGTACCTTATTAGAAGATAATAATATGATATCACAAGTAGGAATGTTTCATACTTCATTAAGCAAGTATCTTACTTAAGACTTAAAATACTAAAATTATTTTAAATTGTGGTAGGTGCATAATTTAGAAGTAATCAATCAAAGTGGCGTTCAACTTGGTGGAAATGTGGTCAAAATATTGGAGGATCAAACGACCATAGATTCTAAATACAATGTGCTTAATAATAGTCAATATATTCTAAATGATAATAACATAAAGGTATTGAATACCGGAACCTTAAAGGTCCTTGACACAAATGCTATTTTGGATGTAAATAACATGAAATTAATTGATACCAATACTGTTTCAAACACAAATGGTGTGAAAATAGTAAATAAGAATGTGTTGATACAGTATGATACCGGAAATGTATCGAGTATGGAAACTAGTACTCAACAGCCAATTTCTACAAAGCGAAAAAGAGATGATAAACCAACAACTGCAAATACCACTAGTTTAAATAATTTGAACTCAATAGAACCAAGGAAAGCTAAAACAAAGTTACAAATTGTTAGAAAATATCAGAATCCTTGCGAAGATTTAGACGAAGCTAACATAAATTTACCTTTTATTAAATGGTTGGCATCAATAACTGAAAGAATAAATCAAACTATGCATTTTCAATTCGACGGAAAACCCGACCCACTGGTATTCCATGTACCGCAATTATTTTTTGACTGTTTGCGGGAAAGGATATCATGTGGTGGTAAAAAAAAACGATTGCCAAATTCAACGACAGCGTTTGTCAGAAAGGATGGTGTACCATTAGGTACATTCACCAAATACACATGGCAAATTACTAACATTTTACATGTAAAAAGTATTTTCGAAACGCCGCTTATACCTTTGGAGATCACAAGAAGTTTTGTCCAAAATGCAGATGGTACATATGAATTGTACAAACGGGAAGAAACGGATATAGATCGGTATAAAAAAACCAATAATAATGCATTGATTAAACCTTTAGAATTAAAGACTTATTTGAAAGTTGGTAAGAACTCTGAAATTTGATGATAAATTAACTTACAGATGAATGAATATTATGAAGATATATTTAATCATAAGTATAATCAATTCCCTATTTTTTGTTTTGTTTTATAGGAAATACTTCTCCGAACCAAGTTGAACCGACACCATTTCTGATAGAATGGATACCAGATATATTGCCAATATCGAAAATTGGTGAGCTTAGAATTAGATTTGAATTCGGTCATGTAAAAAATGAAACAAATCACAGATGGAGGAAAATAGCTTTATTAAAAAATTATTAAACGAATAATTTTGTAATAATTGCCTTTGTATTACCAAATTTTCACTTTCCTATTATTAATGGTTATGTAAAATGTAAAATCTTTCGAGAATAATTTTCCCATGGAGAAAGAAGAACAAACGATAAATATGAAATATAATTTCGTAAGTTCAGTACATACATACATTTGAAATATAGAATAACTCAGTATATAAGTTCTTGTTGAAAAAGCTACAAAGGAAATGCCTTAAATTTGAAAGAAGTTTAAATCTAAAATACTACAAGTAGCTATTCTCTGGAAATAAGTTTTAAATTGGTTTAAAAGAACTAAAGACTGACCTAATTTTACGGTATCGTTTTTATAAAGATAAAATTTGGAAGAGATACGATTTTTCTTAGAACAAATAATTCATATTTTCATATTATAATATCAATGTTCATGTTGCATCACATTTGTAAGACCAGTATCTTTTGTTCATGAAATGTATTCATCATATACTTTTTAATTAATTTATTGAAAGTAAATGTATAAAAAATTATATTAATATTCTTGTCAAAAGAGTACTAAATTGTATTATTATTGTATATGAATGTGATATATTGTAAATATATAATTTAAATTGGATATTGTTATGTAAAAATGAAAACGTTTACATTGCATAAAGAAACTCCATTTGTTTTAGGAGCTTAAAAATAAATTATATATCTAAAGTATTTGTCGTTTTATACACCTACAATATATTACAATTTCTATTACGTAAAAATAGAAATTTGGTCTCAATGTTGAGAATAACTTTAATATCTGTAATTTTGTGCAAATTAAATATTTCAATATAATATAGAAACAGAAAACATTAAATATTTATTTAGAAGCTTTAAACATAAATTAGCGTGATAAGTTATGGTTCTTTAAAAGTTTCTGTACAGAGATGACAAGAGTTGTCATTAGCTTTGAATTTAATACAAATATTTAATTTTGAATTTCACGTACGCGCTTTACTCATTTCCAAGTAAGTCTGATGAATTTTGACGTAACGCGGACGATTTTCCATTACTGGATCTGTTAAATGTCTCGTTCCTAATGGGCTGCTGCACTTTTCACAAATTCTGTGATGGAACAAATTTTGAATTATATTACAACACCATTTATGATGTTTTTCTCTCAAGTTGTAATATCGTAACGTGATGGTGTCCATAACCTACATGTTCAAATGGGCTATTATTCGAAACGGGAATTCGTAAATAAAAGAAATCCTCTGATAAAAGAAAATGAATCGCGAGAAAATCAAATTTATCGAATCGACTACGATCAACTTCAAGTATGAACGATATTATTCAGAATTAATCAATGTGGTCTTTTGAGTTAAGTTTCGAACGGAAGTGTTGTCCTTCCGGAAGTCGTCTCTGACGTAGAGTGCTAAAGAAGCGTACACTTCCATTTTCTCGACCCTTTTGGCGAACAGAGAGCACGTGTTTGCTCGCCGGTCGCGTTCAGTTCATTCTATTGTGTAAAATTTTGCATCGGACGTATAGTCTGTCTGATTGTGAGGTGACGGAAGATCAAAAGCTTCTGGTCGTCGTAGAGGCTGGTTAACAATGAATCCCGAAAAGTTGAAGAAGCTTCAAGCTCAAGTACGAATCGGCGGCAAGGGAACACCCCGACGCAAGAAGAAGGTATGTAAATTTATTTCGAACATCAGCATGAATTTACAGAATTCTTCTTAATTCTATCAGGCCACGAGTTTTTCGTGTTCGGGGATTACATGTTTCGAATGTCAATCATAATGATTTACCCGTTTTGCTTATTTTCGAAAATTGTTTTTTGATTCTCGACCACCGATCACCATTCTTACGTGACACCAAAATTATGCAGTTATTTTCTATAGGACAATTGTAAATTATTCACACATGCTCCGTGTTTGTATTACTGTCCTTTCGATATTCCTCTTTTATTTTTTGCGCGTCAAAGAGGCAGCTATTGCCTCCTCGTGTGCAAGTTTGAGATTGTAACTTGGATTTTCAGTTTATCACCTACATTTATATAAAATTGTTATTATCATTAAAAGTACAGTCAAAATTAATGTTACATATATATATATATATATATATGTTTTGTAAAAAAAATTATGCAGTGAAATGTAGCAGTTCACAAAAGGAAAATTTCATAATAAAAAAGATCAATATATTTATTGTTTTGTGTATTATTTTTTATGTTATTGTCTTTTAATTACATTTAATGCATTGTTAGGTGGTGCATGCAACTACTGCCACAGATGATAAAAAATTACAAAGTTGTTTGAAAAAACTGTCTGTGAATACAGTCCCTGGTATAGAGGAGGTTAATATGATTAAAGATGATGGCACTGTCATCCATTTCAATAATCCAAAAGCTCAGGCTAGTCTGTCTGCGAACACATTTGCCATTACTGGTCATGGTGACAACAAACAGATAACTGACATGTTGCCAGGAATAATAAGTCAGTTGGGACCTGAAGGTGTTACACAGTTGAAACGATTAGCGAGTACAGTTTCTGGTAGTACAGTTGGTAAAGCAACATTGGAAGAAGACGACGAGGTGCCTAATTTAGTGGGGAATTTCGATGAAGCCAGTAAAGAGGAGGTAATGACTGTTTAAAAATGATGTATAATATATAGAGGACTATATACAGGGTTATTGTAGATTGATCTCAGTTTTAGATATTGAATAAAGACTAGTTTATTATTAATATTACATAATAATTGTAATTATTTAGAATGAAACAAATTTTTGATGTTTCTGTAGTTTTTTATTTATATATATTTTATACCATATTATTTGTAAGGTTATTTTAATAAACAAAAGTTTGTACAGTTATTTATTATTAAAATGTTTGGTATAAACTTGAAGGTTGCTCCTAAAAAGCAAGTGGATGAAAGTGATAAAGCAGCTGGTGATAAAAAAGAAGTTATTACGAATGATGGAAAGAAGGAAGCCCCCTTAGCCACGCCTGAAGCTTAAAGCATTCAGTATCAAGGTAATTTTACAACGCGAAGCCTATAGAATTAAACTGTCATTTGAAAAACAATAAATTGTTTTTTAACTTCCATTTTTTTACAGCTATTTCGTACAACTAACAGTTGTAATTGACAAGTTGAGAAATACAAGTTGCAAAAAGCAATGCGTAAACGAAGTATCACTATACATACGTTATAAATATTTGACATACCCTATGATAATGATATATGAGTAACAGTTATCAAGAAATAAAAGATGCTGTTACAGAAATCAAAAAGTTTTTATGGACGATGTTCTTTACTTTGTCGCATTTGCTAACGGTAGATTTTTGCTTTGAATCAGCTGGAATGATCTTACTCTTCCTGAATTAACGTTGTGTGACTGTTAATTGTGTACGAGATCTGGAGTTTGAATTTTAGGCATTTAATTTGATTGTTCAGTCACGTGTTAACGCGATGTGAGATTACGATTTTTATTACGATTTTATTTGTAATAGTTTCCTCATTGTCATATTGTGTTCACATGTGTTCTTATTTTGATGATAACGAACTCGAAGAATTTATAGGAATATCGATTAGTAAAATAAAATGAAATTTCCGGCAAGTGGTAACAGTACCCTTCTACCTATTCGCAGTGACGTTATGTAGGCGGGAAAAAAGTTTATATAGAGTATAGAAAGAGTAAACAAAAAGAAAAAAAAAAAAAAAAAAAAATGCGTGAGGCACCTCTATTTTAATTGATGGAGTTAATATCAGTTACAGATAAGAGTAGTTTCTTGCAGCAGCTTTCCAGCGTGGAAAAATGAGGTGTAATATTTTGTAATGTAAACTACGGAATAAATTCATTTGCTGGAAATGCGGGTTTCTACTTAAAATTTCATGTTTCTCCAATACATTGTAGTCGTAATTTGTCAATATTTATATTTTCATCGATAGAATAGATCTGTAATAACAGTGTACTTATGGAAATATATTAATAAGAGCCACTCTGTATAGTAACATACGTTTCTTAGCATTTTCCACTTACAGTTTATATTTTACATGTGTGAACATAACTACGTTCACGTTTGAACACTAAGATTTTAGTTGTTAATTTTAAATTCATGCAGGCGTAACGAGAGCAGTTGTAATTTTTAGAAATGTATACAGCAGGAGTATGGCAGTTTCTTGGTTTTATTGTATAAGACGTTTCATTGGTGAAGCATATTTTTCGATAAGTATAGTGTTTATTATGCACCGATAATTTATTCGAAATTATTAATTTATCGATTAACTGATCAGAATTAATTTTGCCTGTGTCGTCATTCGGCTGTTATAAAATCTGATTCGTTGTATGAAATTATGTCATGTAACAATAGCAAGCAAGGTTTACGGTAACAATTGCGAGATAACCGAGCAGTAATTGGTTTGATAAGTTGATGCTTTTATCCACTTGAATCTATTTAGGCGGCGGGCTCAAGTATTAATCATCTTTTGGACCATAAATAACTGGACGTTTTCAAGTTTGCTTTATGACTACCGTCACGAGACGATAAACGTTTGCGATAAGTTTTGTCATGCCAGTTTACATAAATATGCGTCTTTTTAAAGACACGTTTTTTTATGGACATTCTATTTCCATGTTCTTAGCTTTCAAGGTTTCTGGTTTAAAAGAAACTATATGAGTTTTCATTACACTACTTAATCACGTGACATAAATGTTATCATCTGTCTATTACACAAATCAAATGTTTACAATTTATGCGAATTATTGTATAAATTTATATAACGTTTGAAATGCTTAAATCACTTTTGTGATGATAAAAATATAATTTGAATAAACTGTTCGATTAATTTGAAATAATGTTTATGTACATATTTGAAGTGGAGAAATGTTATAAAAAATCGTAAAGAACAAATAAGTACATGGCATGACCGTCAGTGTTTAGAATTGGTTAGGTTCTTGCTATAAGTGTATGTATAATAAAACATGTATTTCCTCTTTTATGCTTTAAATTAAGCATATTGATATTACTAAAACATAATTTTTATATATCGATCAAAATAATAACGATAGCCTCAAGATCAATTAAATCGTTTCATCTGTTTAATCCTCGTGCGTTGTTCAAATAATTTCTAGTTGGAGCAAATTGGTTTGAATCATTTTCCATGACATTTCATGTCTTGGTAATACTATTCTATTACATATGTTTAAAAGTAATCGAAGTTTATATAATTTTTCACTATTCTAATCGGGATTTATCTCCGTATGACAATCGGAGACGAAATATACGAGTAGATCATTCACCTTGTGGACTTTCGTGGCCCAAACTGACTGCCTTACCGACCTGAAAATTCGGAGACGATTTTAGCGTCCTCTTCTCATGGATGCGGTCAGTTGAGAAACTATTGAATTAGTATTGATGGGCAGACAGCTGTAGTGTGTGCGTAAATACACGTGAGTTGACTATGAAAGGGATTGAAATTCATTTCTAAATCTGTTGATAATGTTGCGAGTGACATGAAAATATTAATAGGGTTTCGAGACCCCATAAAAATAGGCAAAAACAATACTCTAGAATCTTTGACGAATCAATGAGAATCAAAACTAACCTAGCGAAGAAGCTCTATATTTATGATAACCTATGCAAGGCGGATCGCAGCCAATTTGCTAATACTATTTAGTTTTTAATTAATAATTACATTACCCAGCTAAGAGTGATACGATTATTAATTAAACGCTAAATAATATTACCCAGGTCTCACCACGTGGAGGTGCTGCGAGTGGAGACCCAAAGGGAGATAGATGGAACTTGGATTCCAAGTTCCATCTATCTCCCTTTCGCAATTTTACAATCTGAATGACTAAAATTTTGAATGTGAATGTGTGAATGTTGAGAAACAAGTGAGAAATGGAAGATAGACATATTACTCGCCACTGTGTCGATAGTGGTCAGGCATGGTCACCGCCAGAGCTCGCCAGTGGTCAGTAGTGGTCAGTAGAAGTGGAGTGCAGCTCCACAACGTTCCGCCATGTTCGCCAGCCCAGAGGAGAAAAAGAGAGTTCGTCACCGTGTAACTTACAATTAGCGTCAGGCAGAAGAGTTAAAGGGGTGGAGAAGACCGTCCTTGGCGAGTTCACCAATCAATTAACAGTTAATTATTAATTATATTCCTGATACAGTCATAGTAATCCAACAATATCTTACTTTTGTTCTTGCTAATATTCACGCGTTGACATTACCATATTTTAATCTCTAATTAGAATCTACGACACTTGCGTTAACGCAAATATTGTTAGAAATTCGAGGGTATCATTAAAGTAGGTACACGCGCTTGCACTGTTCTCGTTAGCGAATATTTTTCTTACCGAAGCTTTGTAAAGCTTACATCTCGCTGAGGAAAAAGTTCCGTCGTTTTTTTTTCCGACTTATCGCGCATTTTCGCCGCAAACTTCTTTCTTTTACTTATACCCGTTCGCTCTGTTTGCCAATAAAAAGAGGAGGATGCAGATAAGACTGAGGAAAAGTCGCTGTTGAAAGGTGCTTCGTCTTCGTTGATTATTCGTTTATTTTTTGTTATCTTCGTTCGCGATTCCTTGAAAATAAAACCCCTTTCAAAGAGCTTTGTCTTTGTTTAGCGCGCTGTACTCTATGGCCAAGAAAACTCAAAATGATTTTTGGTTAGATTTCGTATTCTGCTATTGATCGTTCTACTTTACGAACGGAATTTTTCTAATGACAGAAAATATATCATATTTCTTAACATCGCTCTGTTCTTTGCGTTCTATTTCAGACGGAACGATGAAAAGAACTTTTACGCCAATAAGTTTCTTCTGAAATCCCGGAGTCTTTTCATTACAGCCATTTTGCAATTACATGTTTTTCTTTTCGATATCTGGACAAAGGACAAACTGTGTCCTTTGATATCCCAGGGTGTTTTAATGCTTTTAAGATCTAAACTTTATTTGATACTCGTACAATTGGTAATACATCACCGCGTTGCACGATTTTCTTTGACGATAGTTCTGGTATTATTTTATACTCCGTGCGTGTAATACAAATTTGCAATGCAAATAGATAATTGCCTGTTCGAAAGAGAAAAAGAGAGAGAAAAAAGTGATGGAAACGCCACTTTTTTTTTTATTTTATTTTTCACTCGTACGTTTCTACGGCAACTGCGATATGAGAAAATATCGAGTGGGGCAGCCGGTACGTGCATCTTCAACGCGCATAAATTTTCCAGAAGTTTGTTACGCGAACGTTTCGTTCGCGCACAAGCACGCAAAATGCAGGAGCGAACTCTGCTACTCGATGTTCAGTTGTACGAGAAAATGAGACGCGAGTACACCACGCTTTTATCAAGCGCCATAAATTCAGAACGTTCACGACAATGGGAATTTTTTAACGCGATGTTCATTGAACACGCGAAATAAAAAACCGTATCGGAAAAGTGAAAATGCGACAAACGAAGGAAAGAAAAAAAGATCAATGTTACTTTCCATATATACTCACTTTAAATCTTGAGAAAACTGCGACAACAAAAAACTATTTAAAGGGGGCCTGTGACACGCAAAAGGTTAAGAACCGCTGCTCCAGAGGTCCTTGGACTGTAGCTCTTATGCTTTAATTTGTTGTTTAATTTTATTATAGTTAAACTAGAATAATATCAGTAGTTGTTGGGCTCTAATTAATGTTCTGGTTTATTTATTCAGTGTTTAATCCATTTTTGCTTGTTTATTTTTTTCTTCTTAGACAACATAACCATTTCTAACCTTATAAGAATTGCAGTTTCCTCGTTTAACATTGATGATTGTTAGAATACCGTACTTACAATGACACTAACTGCAGGAAAGACGGCAGGTAGAACTTGTTGGTAAATCCGTCGTAAACTTTCCTATGTATTGCACGAGAGTTGCCTTTCGAATTTCCTGCGGGTTTGTATCTTCGCGGACTAACCTTCCATAGACTTCCGTGCATATGGCGATCTTATGGAAGGTTGGCCCGCGGGCTTGGTTTCTCCGTACGTGGCCGCAAGGGAAACCTCTGCGTGTTTGGTTAAATTGCCCGCAAGGTTTACCAGAATTTCGGCCCGCGAACTTGTCATTAATGTTTGAAGTTTTCTTGACGACCAAGTATCAGTTTCACCAAACAATTTCATTATAGTAAAAATGAGTGATATGAGAATGTGGTCACATAAATTTATAACTGAATTCATTGAACTCTATAAATCATTTCCGTGTTTGTACAATTTTAAAAGTGAGGGGTACACGCACAAACAATTAAGAAATACTTGTTATAATAAAATGGTGGAGAAACTTAAAGAAATTGACCCAACGGCAACAAAAGATAGCGTTGTTAAAAAGATTGGTAACATGCGTAGTTCGTATAGAAAAGAATTGAAGAAAGTAAAAAGGTATAAAAGAAATGGATCTGTCTATGAGCCATCGCTTTGGTATTTTCACTTACTTGATTTTTTGTACGATCATGAAGTTTCACGAAGCCGCAATGCAAACACTTCACAGGAGGATAACAATGAAGACGAGGAAGAGGTAAATGATGAAGTAAGTACAAACAATATATCTTTATTATAGTTATTATTGATTTATATTTGATATTAAGATACCTCTTTTATTTGTATTACAATCTCCTTTTAATAAAATGAGAATTCCAAAATTATATATTGCAGTCCCTATCATCATTTAAATATTAAGTGTAATAACATATAGGACTACTGTCTGTAAATAATTCTACAAAGCTAAAATTTTTCATTTGTTTCAATTTTAAACAATTTTAATATAGAAGAATAATGTCTGTTGTAGTTATTTCAATACATAGGTAGACTATACTCTAATCAAATGTCTACTACAATCATTACAGGATGACACATATGAAAGTTATAGTAAATTACAGTCTCCAGAAGAACAAACTACAGATTTGGATCCATTAGCACTCCCAAATCTATCAGAAACACCTTTGCCTCATTTAAGCGCTAGTAGTGTATCAAAAAGAATTCTTGGCAAAAGAAAAATAGAAGAATCACAGTCAAAACAAGACATTGAATTTGATTTTGTCGATGACAAATTGCAGCAGACACAAAATAAATATACAAACTATGGAGCATATATCAGTGATGAATTAAGTGACTTATCACCCACTATGGCAATATACTGTCAAAAATTAATCAATGATGCTATTTTTGAGGCAAAATGTGGAAATTTAAGTAGACGATCTCGAATATGGACACCACCTGAAACAACTAATGTACCTTTAACTTAATTCATTTTTAAAGTGTTATATGGAACGAGTTGGATCATTGTGATATTAAATAAAAGAAAATTTGTATATACAGAAACTAAATATATATATTATATATAAATTTCTATATAGTAAAAAAACTCAGTTGATACTCACTTTGCAATCTGTTTCCCGAAAACCTTTATTTTTCTTAATTGCCATTCTTACAACTGTATCTTCTCTTTTTTTGTAACGGGGCACACAAAATTTAAGTTTACGTATACGTCTTCGATCAATCGCATGTCATTCCGATAATCGTGAACTCTAACCACAAATTAGCCAGCAAGTTATTGTTTTGGTCCGTGTGACTGATCCTTAACCTACCTTTGGTAATAACTTAATAAGAAATGAATCTTCGTTTAACGTTTTCTATCACCAACACACGCGGAAAATGTAACGATAATATCTACGGGAAACACGGTCTACGAAACTACCGAACTGGCCGTAAACCTTCGCATGTATGGACGCTTCTATTACGCAAGAGTTGCCTTGCGAATTCCCTGCGTGTTGTATCCCCGCAGGCAACCTCACAGCGAGCTCTCGCGGTTGTACGCGCATTGGCTCTAAATATAAAATCAACAAGTAGTTCTCTACAAAGTGAAATCAAACAGAATATATTTTTGAAGTTAAACACCAATACTACAAAAATAAGACATATTTGATATCGATCAAAGAAGAATAAACGTGCAAGTTATTATGAAAATGACTTAAGTCGTATATCTCCCGTTTCAAGATATTTAAATTTCATTAATAAGCGCGGGAAGGTCGACGAAATTAGAAATTCTTAATATATCTATATGTGTAACAGGAATGTAATAGATTTTACTTTTAATGTTAATTAATCAAAGTATCTTAACTTCGAATATTTGAATTTATTTATATTAATACATTTTTACCTTCTTGTTTTTGTAGTCGATTTTTTAAGGTACTTGGGGGTGAGTTTATAGACATAATATTATTAATTCAATAAACGAAGGTATAGGTACTCTTCGCGAAACTTTAAAGTTAAATGTATCGTTGGTAATTACTCTCGAGTGCCAACCCAAGTAAGTTCCTACACACTAACTTACTAAAGGTGCTCAAGTAGCCATTGTTCATGTTATCGATAAAACGTCAGGCACAATTCGTTCAGTTCCGCCATGATTGTGATCTCACGATTACACAATTTTCACGCTACATTACGTTGAAAATTTATAAGTTCGTTTTCTATTTTTTTCGTATTTAAAAATAATATAACAAAACTGAAGTCTCGTTAAATTTTAGTTGCATAGTTTTTGCAATAGTAAACTAAAAAAAAATGTTTAAATTTTAAGTATTAAGATTTCTAGCAAATTTAGAAATTCTTACTTTCAATGCTAAATGTATAAATTTCTGCTAAGTATACATCCCATACCTATTTAAAAAGCACTTAGTATAATTTTTTATGCATAGGTGTGCTAATAAAATTGCTAAATAAATAATAAAATTGCTAAATAAATTGCGTATACAAAATACGACAAAAAAGGGATTTATAACATGCAAAGAACAAACAGAATTTTCAATGAATAATGGAATAATTCAAGGGACCGTGGAAAATTTAATTACACAGCAATAGAGTTAATTAAGGCTACGGAACATTTTGACTCCATCGTAAGCATTTTTTGTCCGAGTCGTAAGCTAGGTATAAAACCACTGTTTTTACGCTTTAATCTTTCACTTCTGAAGTGCGTTTTTCGATCATTTTTTCAGAGGTAACTGTGAAAAAAGCAGTGCTCTCGTAAAACTGGTGGCCAAGTAAATATTCAAGGAGGGTCTCCATCGAAAGTTTTTGTTCTCGTTAATTCTTTAGTGTGCACTTAACGGCGTTTTTTGACGTCTTGCAAGCATCTTAAGAGAGAGTTTTTTTTGTCGTTCGTTTAGAGTTTAAAAAGTCAAGAATATTTCGCGTGGAAATCATAAGAAATTATTGATTAAGCAAATCACTTTTTAATCTTCGATGACCGTCAATAATAAATGACGACTTTATTACGTTTAATCGTGCTTGTTGTTAAATTCCCTCAGCTCCATTATCTAATCGGTTGTGCATAGTAACTGGGTAAGTGATTAGAGGATATTGTTCAGTCATGACGATATTTATTTTAGAATATTCGTAGTTCCTCGCGTCGAACTGCTCTACACGCTGGTGCGACATTAGTACGAGGTCATACATAAAAAGTTTATGCTTTATTTTATGTACAGAGAATAATCACGTTACGCTTCGAGAGTTTTACATTCATGTAAGAACGTGTCCGGCCGCAATAATCGGTTTAAGTTTGTTTCTTTCGCGCGAGGTACCATTTTTAATGACATTTCTTTGTCCAGCTGGCGAACATCGAAAAACTGAAATCCACGCTTACGACTGTGTTGCCCGTTACATTTTCAACGTCAACGTAACGAAGTTATCGATGTAGTATCAAAAATACACAGTGACAAAATTATACCTTTGTGCTTTTCTATTGTGCCGTTCGTATCGAGAACGTCGTTCGAAAATTCGGGCAAAACTTACGGAGTCTTTTTGTCACCGATCGTCTCATCCTTAAACCGCGAAATACCACGCAACCTTTAATGCAAACTATAGTTATTCGATCTCACGTATTTTGTTCTTAGATTCGTGTTCTGATTTTACGAAAATTAGTATATGATTTTCAAAAAATATATTTTCGTAGTTTCTCTGAATACGTTTAATAGAAGTTTAATAGTGAGCTAATGCTAAGATAATGATCGTAATGAGTTTTGTAAACTATAAAAATTCGATGATTTATTAACGGAAATAAATAACTTGTTGCAAGTAACAAGTAGTATTATTGGAAAAAGATCGTGATTCGCTTATTTATATTATTAGTTAATACTATTTTTAAATATCTATTTTATGCGATATATTAATAGTAATTTTATTAGTTGTCGCATTGCTTATTTGTCAAAATTATTAATTTTCTACGGGTCGGTAGCTACTTTTAACGAATTAAATTCGATTCTAGACTATCCTCAAATTAGTATTACGTAAAGGGGAAGAATTTCTTAATTTAAATCCGTAATTATCAAAGTTACTGCAGTAAGCAACGATATATTATAATACTTTAACGCGCTGACAAATGTTAGGTACTTTGCCTCGAAGGTCTACATCGGTTCACGTGTGTTTTTCTGATGTCCATGAATTTTGCCCGACTTTTCCAAACGATGCAACAATGTAAAACGATATAAACGTCCATGAAATGATCATACACTGTAACGACGATTTTATTATTCGGCAAATCTTCACGCTCACGCACGAAAGCAGAGGATTCAATAAAGATTTATGTCCGAGTTTCTACGTAAACGATGCTCTAAATTTAACGCGTTAACTTCTAACTTTATTCCCTAAAACATCATTAGCTACGACGACATCGAAGACGTACGCGTTTTTACGATACCAGTTTTAAATCTTTTATTCGCGCTAATTCATCAACGATCTTGTAGGAAGAAAGCCAAAATAATCGATTTCGAACGTGCAATCGTCTGGAATTGAATCGTAGTCGCCGGTTAATTTTATCGCAGCATATTTACATCGAAATAGTCACGTCGTGACGAGGAACAATGGATATACAATAATGTATAGAATATTTTCTACGACAGAACTTTTCGCGTTTCAAACGAGGACAATTGTTCCAAAGAATACCGCGGCAAAAGCTTGGTTTCAAAACTCGAAGACGGGTTACAGAAATTGGAGGATATCAACCTTTAAAGTACGGTACTTTGCAACAATTTTGCCGAACTTCGAAGTAGTTTTCCCATTCTAAACGTTCATCTTTCTTTTCTGATTCCCCTCGAGCTTAAGATAGAAAATTTTTATTTTAATTTTACTTTATTGCTCTTCGTTAACGCGCAATCGTTTTTAAAAATTCATCTTTAATTAATTAGACTAAAGAGACTTGTCGAAGATCTCGTACTCGTAGAATCTTCGTATCGTTTGACATATTTCGTTAAATGTTTTTAACGTTCGTACTTTAAAAGTTACATCCGGATGTTCGAAATTTCGAGGAACAGATTCACACCCAACGCTTCAGGATTTCGACGAACAAATTCGCATACGCCTCGCGCGAACCAAAACGTTCGTACATATTCTCGTCTGAACCCTTAATATCCGACTATACATATAACGCAGCGATCTCCAAACACGGTCCGTGGTTCGTTTAATATTTTTCTAAATTCTTTTGTCCCCTCGAATCATTTGGAAACCCCTGCGGACAGCGAGACCGAAATCGTAGCTTCGTCCGACTTTATTAAACATACCATCCTTATATACTTTTTGATTTACGCCACATACAAACAGCTCGCATAAGAAACGTCTAGGATTGTCTAGCTAGTGATACGTCTTCCTTCCCTGGCTCGAAACGGCGCTGTTTCGCAATGAGATCGAAGGAATGATGAGCGTCATTAAAGAACGAGCCGAGTTCCCTGCTAAATGTCTTAAAGCTACTTTCCTACTTGAGCGTACATTTTTCAATTTTCCCTGGATAGCAAAGGAGAACTGCATTTGCAAATTCAGAGAGCATCGTTTTTTATTCACCTTATTTATTGCGATTATTTATTTGCACGATGTAACAATATTCTTTTCAATTTTCTATAACTATCCCTTCGTCTCTTGTCTCTCACACTTAACCGTATTTTTACATTCATTTTATTTTCCAAGTTACGAGTATTGTGTTCCTATCTTTTTAGAGACGTTAAATAAATAAATATAAGTTAAATTCAATAGAAATATTAATCATTAATTTTCATTTATAATTTCTATAAAATTTTTAAACGTAACGTATATATTTACAACAATATTATATTTAGTCTTGTCTCTTTTATAAACTAAATTGCTTTTTAATGCGTTTAAATAAAAAAATGAATTGCTTGCTTTAAATTTAATTGTTGAATATATCATTTCGTTTTACTTAGTACTTTTATGACCTAATAATCATTTAATATGGAACAAGACA